ATGGATGGATGGATGGATGGATGGATGGATGGATAGATGGATGGATGCATGGATGCATGGATGGATAGATGGATATGGATAGATGGATGCATGCATGGATGGGTGGATGGATAGATGGATGGATGGATGGAGACAACAGGTGAGGAAAGAGGACTTCCAAACTGCAGCTTTTTATTTTTTCTGAACACATGCTTCTTTCCGTCCGTCTTCCTGACGTCACATGCTTTCCCGCTCTCTGATTGGCTGCCGCTGCTCCGCCCCATCGCTAGGTGACTGGTTTGGCGCCGTGTGGGCGGAGCCACGGAGCAGCTGCTTATATATGAAAGCGGCACCGCGGCTGCTTTACCTCCCGGATAGCTCGAGACTTGAGACCAGGCGGAGGGACCAGATCCAGTCCAGGTTCGGATCCACAGCAGGTGCTCAGTCAAACATGGCCGCTAATAAAGACGACGGAGGCTGGAAGAAGCTCCTGTGGAACTCGGACACGGGGGAGCTGCTCGGTCGGACCGGGGGCAGTTGGCGTGAGTGTTTTTAACCTCCTTGTGCGCGCGCCTCGTGCTTCGTGCCACCTGTTAGATTTGACTTTGCGTCATTCTGTGGGGACAAGGTTCCCTCTGGTGTCTTGGGTTTCGACCCGAAGCTCCCAGTTGGTGCTCCAACGAGCCGGTGTGACCCGGTTAAAGTGACGTCAGTGGCTGGTCGGAGACGCGCCAGGTGTTTTCCGGCAGGTAAAGGGTTAAAAATGCATCATAGTCCAAGGTGAGTCTAGGTGACCGGGCCAGCTCTGTAACCCGAGAGACCGGTATCGATCCGGGTCGGGTTCTGGTCTCTGATCAGGTGTCCGCGGTTCTAATGAGCACCACTCATTAACTCGCTGTGACCTTCTGGTCCCGGCGGATCCTTACTGCGCATGTCCGTGCGGCTCAATGTCACCTGCCTGCTTCCGGTCCCAGGAGGTCCGCTAGGTCGGTGCTGCCGGTCCGGCCCGGTTCCGACTCTGCACCTGTCCTGAGGTCACCTGAAGGTGCTGCTGGCAAACGGACATGCGCAGTGGGGTGTTGAAGGGTCCTGAAGCTGTGCGTGGAGTTTAAACGTCCCGATGACGTCATCGTGACGTCAGAACCCGCTGCAGGTCACAAATGAAGTTTCTGTTTAAAAACTAAAACAAGGTTTCTGTTTAAAGTTCAGCAGAGGAGCACATCTGAGGACTGGGGGGGGGGGGGGGGGGGGGTGCTCCCCCCGGCCCCCCGGGGTGGCGGGGGGCGGGGCACGGGGTGGGGGCTCGGGTCGGGCCGCCCTGCGCCGGAGGGGGGCGT